TGAGAATTATGTTGGGAGCCGGTGAATTTCCAAGCACGGAAGGACAGTGAATAGACAGGACCGGACACCGTCGAAAAAGTCAAGCAAGCCACAGGCATGCTCCTCTTTGCATTATCGTCAAAATTATGATGGTTACTATTGCTAGTACTAGAACTGCTACTATTAATATTACCATTACCACTACTAGTACTAGTACTATAAGCATCATTATTACTGTATTATTATTCATATTAATTAATACTGTTGTTGTCTCTTTATTTCTGTTTGTTGCAGCTTGGACTTCTGGAGGCTCTGGGCATTTACTTTTCAAGCATGCGAGGCTTTCCATTTTGCAGACTGTCTATGAAGGAAGGCCAGCATAGTGGGCGGGCGTAGTACAGGTTAAGTTTTAAGTCATGATTAATAGCATTAAACGTGCAAATAACATCATAATGATACTCAAAAACCATCATATTGCGTTGTATCGGCAAAACGTTGGGCAATCAGTTCATAACGAAGGCTGATGATTGCTTTTAGGTTTTGGGTTTCAAGCTCAAATCCGGCTAGTGCACCTGTCATAGCTGGGTCGCCATAAACCTCGACAATTCTCCGGACGTCGGAACCTGCAACTCCTTCCTGCATTAGTCCATAACAGTCCCCCCCGCAAGATGCGGGAGCCTACCTGAAGCCCCCGCATGTAAACACTAAGTCTGAACCCCTGGACATAAACCCCAAAACCGAGTTATGAAAGGAGGGCCAAAACTCAATGCCAGAACCCCTAAACCCTAAACCCTACTATACACCCTTATATACCCCCCTATATATCCATATTATAACCCTATATCACCCCCTGTAAAGGGTACCTAAACCATTTAGGAGCCTGCGCAAGTGGCTGCAGCACAGCACCCGGCAAGTCCATCCAGGTGGCTCGCGTCTGGTATTCCACCTTCTTTGAAGCTTTCTAGCGTTTAGGGTTTAGGGTCTATAGGGTCTAGGGTTTAGGGTTTAGGGTTTAGGGGTTAGGGTTTAAGGGTCTAGGGTTTAGGGTTTAGGGTTTGGGGTTCAAAGTTTAGGTTCTAGGGTTTAGGGCTTAGGCTCTTCTTGGGGGTGGCCTAAGTAGGAGCCTTTAAAGGCTTAGCTACTCAAAGTTTAGGGTATATATTGCTTAGGTGGAAAGAGGGGATCCCCCAACAAAAATCAAGCTGAGGCATTCAGCCAGTCAGACCCCAAGCCCAAACCCCCAAGCAATAAACCACAAACCCTGGACCCCAAAAATCCTATACCGAACCTCTAAGCCCACAACCATTCTCCCGAACCTTAAAGGTACAAAACCAAAATTGCGTATTTTGTCCCAGTTAGTCTTTCCTACATAGTTTTTTGGTTCCTCATGCCCCCAATATTTCGGTATTTGGGCGCTTAGGATAAACCCTACATATCCCTGACTTCAATGGAATAACCACATTTCTTGAATTTTTGAGCCTCAAACTCCAAAATTGCGAGTCTGACGCAGAAGTCGCTGAGAACTCTACGGGTGGCAGGGTCAGGTCCACAGCATCCTCAGTGAACTGGGGGAGATCCCTTAGAAGGGGTTCCAGGGATTATGCTAGGGTTTAGGGTTTAGCGTTTGGGTATATCGGGATTTATTGGGGGAGGGGGGGGGTTTTACATGTTGAGTGACGCCTTCTTGGTGGCGACTCAATCAGGGGTCACTTCTTGAGATCTGTAGTTTGTTGGTGCATGGGTCTGGTGAGATGTCCTTCTATCTGTGAATCTTCTCGTTCAAGGGTGAATTTATTAAGTGGGGTCACTCTACGCCCCCGTGAGGTGAGCGGGACCGCTGCTGCTGCATCATAGTCATAGTGCCAAACAGTCCTAGCAGTGCTGTATCACGTCCCTATCGCAGAGCTTTTGCAAAAATCCAGGTAGGGAGAAACCACATATGAGCTATAGTCCGAACTCCGAATATGCCCCATAATACCCCCTTTTGTAATCCCCTAGAAAGCCCAATTAAGGAGCTTAGACTACAGCTCATATCTAGAAAGCTCCAAACCCTTGGAAGTCCAAAGCAGAAGTTCTTTTGTGCGTGGGGCCATCCTTGGAGCACCATGAATGATTCAGCTAGTCCACTGATGATTAACTCTGCTGAACTAGCAGCTAGCAGTTTGTCCACATCACCTCTTCTGAATTCCTATTAGAGGCCTCCTTGAACCCTGTAATTCCCATATCCCTAGGGACCACCAAACACACTTTAGGGACCCCATTGTTTTAACCCACCTTCAGCCGGGGAGGATCACCTAAACCCTAAGCCTTAAACCCAAACCCTAAGGTGCACTAGGAAACAACTGGCCGTTACCCCAACCGCAGTGGACAACAAACACACTTGGTAGCTTCCCTAAACAGGGGAACCCCAATGTAGACCCCAACATATTATAATCTCTATTATGCGGACGCCCGAAAAGGTACTGTATCCCTAATTTTGGGAAACCCTCGATTTAAATGTAGGGTCTTTCCTGGAACTATACCAATGTAAATTATCCTTGTTACAGGGGCTCGCGAATGGGCCCACGATCTTCCAAGCCCTGAAGCCTATACACCCTGCTAAGGATTTTCGGGACGGGTAGTGCTGGGCTCCCGCGCTATCATGCTATGGTCCTTCTTGGACTTCTTGCGGAAGCCATACATGCGCCTTTGAATGCTTAGAACCCTTCTCTTGAAGTCTGGCTGTCAGGTTTGGAGTTCCTACTTTGATCAATGAGGATGAGATGAGGATTACCAACTGCAACTCCACAGACTTCAAGAACCCTCCAAGTTTTGGGCTAATGCTTGAAGCGGATTTACGTGTCATGCACTTGTTGCAGGGCGACATCTATTGCTTTACAGCAGATCAGAGACACAGGCGCAGCTTGCCCCCCCCTTTCCCCTGAGGGTTTACAGTGGACGGGTGCACTCTGCAACCACGCGGAACGCCACGTGCAGCACTCTGGAAAAGCTTGCCTACCTCTCTATGGAATGTAAAAAACTGCTTTTATTGGATTTGACTTTGGGGCTGTTTCCCTTCCAGATTCCTCTGCTTTTTGCCCGAAGCCCTAAACCCTAAACTGGGTGCAAGGCCAGTGAACAGTGGCGCGCCCCGACCGCACAACTGGAGTACTCGCCTGGGCTTCATGCGGATGATCGGGGATTTCTGGAAACTTCCGGATATTTATGGGTTTAGAATGGGTACTGCTACCACCCTGTAACAGTCAATATTAATGAGGGGTCATATTCCTTATTAAGCTCTATCTATGACCATACTACAGATATCATTTAACTCTTACAGACTTGGGGGCGGTACCCAGGGTTTAGGGTTCTAAGCTCTGATCCCTTCTGCACCTGTTTTCTGGAAAGCTTTGATTTGACTTCATCAGCGCGGAGTTCTAACTCCACTGAGACTCAAGGCCGAGAACATTTCGAACGAAGGTGCCCTGGACCCTGATTTATGGACTCGAGGAAGATCTGAAACCAAACCCATGAGCTTGTGCTTGTTCTTGTTCTTTTGAATTGCGAAGGAAATTCGGGATCCTGGCTCAAGACAGCACCGGTCAAAACCTCAAACCTTCAGTCTGTCTGAACACTTGGGTTGTAGCTTCAGTGCTTGGTGAGTAGGTACTATTAAGAAGCTGTAGGTGATTGAAGCTTCATGGGTTGTATAGCGTCGCTGAAAAACACCCTTCAGTCTTCAGCCAAGATAGCACCTACAATTTTCGAAAATTGACCAGCCAAATCTGTAGCTTGTACAAATTGAAAGCCCTCGACCCTCGACTCCCAGTCTGCTCTTTTGAGTCCTTTGGATGCATGAACTGTACAAAGCAGCTTCCCTGCCAAAGGTGGGACGAATCCCGCATAGAGGTGGGAAGTGCTGGGTCTGAGCGCGCAATACAATTTGAGCCATAGTCTAAACTCCAGTATCCCCCTTAATAACCCCTATAGTAGTCTCTATACAATCTCCTTTTTAAACCCTCTAAGCAGTTTAGATGATGGCCCACTTGTCTTGAGCTAGACCCAAGGCTTTCCGCCGCTAGGTTAAGGCGGCCGGGCTGACTTGAAGTGGCCGGTGTATGCTTTTCTCTCTGCATGGTAGGTTCCCTAGTCAGGGGGGCCCCAGTATAGACCCCAGAATACTGTGATCCTTATTATGGGGCCCCACAAAGGTACCCCCAATGTTATTGAAAACAAGCTTCAGCCAAACATATGACATGACGGGCCCACGCCTCACGCTGCCTCACCTTTCAACATTGAACCTCCTAACTTACTTTTTACATCCGTGAATCCATAAGCCCTATACAAGCAGGAAGGGTTTAGGGTTTTGCGGCGCTTAGCCCAAAGAGGCGCCACTTGCAAAGACCAGGGTTGTGGAAGATTTTTCACATGGGAGTTTCGGGGAACAGCATGCTCCCAGAGAATCCGGGGATATATGGAAACTGTCAAGAGATTCGAGAAGACCGCCCGTTAAGGACTTCGTAGCTCAGAGAATTCTTCCCCACTGTGTCACACTACTCGCCTGAGAGCTGCACTCAAGGAGTGGGGGAGCGGATCCCTACAAATCCTAGAAATCCCAAAAAACAACCCTTGCAAAATGCGTACTCCTCCAATTTCCCCCTTAAGCAGTAGCACCTAGACCATGTTACAACCACAACTGGCCCAGGAAGTGAAGCGCCACACTGTACACAGCACAGCTATAAGCCTCGGCCAAGCAAGCTGCAAAGCTTTCGTATCAAATTTTGTGGATGACAGAAGATCTTGTGACCATGTAAACAGAAAGTGGAAAGGTAGCTTGCCTCAAGCATCTCGCTTGTTTTGCTTTGGCTGCAGCCGACTTTCAGTAGGGTAGGTTTGGGGGCCCTAAAAGATAATCTTTATGGCTTTATAAGGGTTATATAGGAGTTAAGGGTAACCCAAATGAAAAACATCAAACATACCCCTGTGAAACGGAATGAGGGTAAGGCTCCTGCGCTCGGAGGTTTAACCCTGCTGCAGCCATCTCAGCATGACAAGTGCTGCTCCACAAAGGCCTTAGCTGCCACAATGTTGATGGACAGAACTCTGTGTGACTTTCGATGCCCAAGCCATGCGAACTATTCTACTATTACTATAATATGGTACTTTCCCAAACTAGGGGGACCCATCATAGACCCCGTTATACTCTAATCCTTATTTCAGGAACCCCCCGAGAAGGTACTCCTAAGTTTGGGAGACCCCCATATGTAACTACCTAAGGTCATGCAGTGGTCGGCTTCTAGACACCAGAACAAGAGAGTCCGAAGGATCATAAACCAGGCTGACAAAAAGGGGACCCTTAATGGAGTTCGCCCGATATGGGGTTTAGGGTTCAGGCTTTAGGGACCCCTTATTGGAGTTGGCTCGATATGCCGGTTTTGCAACATGGGCTACCTTCTAGGAACCTTGCGGACCCCAAGACGGATACCCTTCCAAAGGAACCCATACATGACACTATGGGCTATTAGACCCTAAAATTCGACCCTATTAGCGGTAGATAGGTCTAATAGCCCATAATGGTGTTCGCGCGCGCTTCCAACTGGCCGAAACTGCAGAAAAACGGCTCAAGCTGAACCAAATGCGTCCCAACCCTGAACCCCAAAATCCCGAAAGCCAAAGCTCCCAAGCCCTAGGATTTCGGGTTCAGGGCTGAAACCCCAAATCAAACCTACCCCCATCCCCCCAAACTTCCACATGTCACCTAGAGCCAAAGAGCCATGACATCATCGCAAGCTGCAAAGATCCGGAGATTGGCCAACTGGTCCTGGGCTTGTAGGCTTTGCAGATTAGGGCCGAGGGTTCGAGGCTCGCGGTTTCTCCAAACAATCTCCAGAGGACCTGGGAGATTTCTGTGCTTGTGCCAGACATGGAGTATCAGCTATTGAGCCATATGTTGCTTCCTAGAGCTGGGCTTCTTCATATTCAGGATTCAAGATTGAGTGATTCGGGCCTTGTGTTGGCCATGTCATGTTAGGACATCAGCTACTTTGCCCCAAGAAGCCCATCTTGATGGCTTCCTGCACCGGAGGCACGCCAAGACACTTCACAGCGTTAAACCCGAAGCAATTTCAGAAATCTCACGTGCGCGGCGGTCCCCCTGACTCATACCTAAACCCTAAACCCTAAAAGCTAAATCCTAATGTTACAACCTTGAGCAGGCTTGGCATGACTTTAAGTGGGGCAGTACAAGGTGGCCCGTATGCAGGGTCGTGCAGGTGGCTCGACCCAAGCAATTTAGGGTTTAGGGTTCGGGTTTAGAAGCATCCACTCCAAAGTCTTAGAAGCCCCAATACCTCCAACGCCCAAACAGTATAAACCCGAAGCCAAGACCTAAACCTAAACCGTGAGCCTTTGACTTTTCAACGCCAAACGAGTCGTGGTCCTTGGGCGTGCGTTGGAGGTTCACGATGACCAGGCGCCCTCCGTCCTCGGACGCTGTTTGCTTGTGATGAAAATTTCTTTGGGAACTACGGAGCGTATGTTACCCGACACTGCTTAAGCTCGAACTCTAACAACCTCACCAAGCTGAACCCCAACACTTTATACCAAAAACCCGAACAACCATGTACTCGAAGCCCTCACACCCTAAACCTTAATCATACCTCTGGGCTGCTGCGAAAGACTGCGGTTAAGTCAGACGTATTAACGTCAGGGTTTGTGGGGTTTATCTATGATAGTTCCGTGTTGTCGCGGTTGAACTTCAGTTCCATAACAGCAACCCAGCAATTTGAATCTTATAACCCTGTATTAGAATGATATTATAAAGCCTTCGCCCGACACCCTGACACCCTATACACTAGTGAAGATCCTACTTAAACCCCGAACCGTACGCCCTAAACTCTAACTCCCAAACCGCATACCCGGCAAGAGCCCTGAAACGCAAAGCCTATACCCTAAACCCTAAGTACCTTGAACCCAACCCCAACACGCGACAAAAATGTGGTACTTTCAACATTCTTCTCAAATGAGCCTTAAAGTAGGGCTTTCATATTTTCAATGGCTGAACACTGAACGAAGCCCTAACCAATACGCTTGTTTCCATGTCAATCTTTCAATCGCATTCCTCTGCTTTTCTTTGAAAACTTCTTCCCAAACTCCTTCCCAAAGTCAGGACTCTGGTTTGCCATCCCGCGCCGGCAAACACTCCTCACAGGCAACGGGGTGGGGGTGGGGGTGCCGAGGTGGCTTCAACGGGGCTATGAGGATGTAGAATGTAGGGTGTTAGGTTCCGGGTTAACTACAATCTGTTGGTACTAGACTGTAAGGTTCAGGGTTGGAGATGTTCGTCAAATGAAGTGGGGGGCTGAGGTCTCTAGGAAATCATAAGAATGCGCAATGAAATCCCTACTATGTACGAGGGTTGAGGTTTGAGGGTTTGGGGACTATGTGCATTTGCATAGGGCATGGAAGTCAAATTCAGTTTGAGAGAACGCCCATCAACTGGCTCGCTCTTTTCAGAATCGCGGGGCTCTATGTGGGGGTTTCCAAACTTGGGGGTCAATCTGCTGGTCGAGTTTGAGAGGCCGAGGATTCTCGTATCTTGGGATCATTTACCGGGGACCTCTGCATTTGAGTACTGCTGTCAATAAAGACCCTAGCCTGCGCTGATCAATGTCTGTATTAATTGGCAGAATACACAGCAACACAACCAGCGATTTGAGTACCCACGTCAACAGTGCGGTTTAGGGATTACAGGTTTACGGCTTAGGGTCCATGTCACGAGTTCATCATGACACCTAATAGGGGGGTGACGGTGGGGTGGACTATCGTGGGGAGGCGGTTGCTTGTATGCATATCTTATCGGGGTAGAGAATTACAAATACATGTAATATACAGATAAAGACATGTACGCGTATAATTAGTTGTAGGGTCTTAGAAATCATAACTAGGAGCCATGATTTTGACAACCCCTCAGACCCTAAACCTCACACCACTAACTGCTCACATATTATATATCTACATATATATATATATACAAATTCTATATACATATACACATTCATATATACAGTATACATACACCCAAAGGATCTGCAGTGGACAGAGTTGCACCTCGGGAAGATCACAGGCGGTCGGCACGCTGAGGCTGCTGCCTTCACCGGAACATTTTAGGTTTAAGGAAATCGGGTTTCTTTGGGGTTTAGGGTTTAGGGATTAGGGCTTAGGTTGAGGGTTTCAGGTTTAGGATTCAGGGTTTTGAGCCATCTAGGGGTTACCTAGGCAGGTTTGACATTTTTTCGAACAGGATTCTGATCGGGACCCTACGCCCTAAACATTGGAAGGTTTAGGGTTCAGGTTGTGAGGCTGCTGGTTCACGCGCACTCCGCTTCGACAGGCAGCCTTACTATCTCTGCGGAAAGCCTTGCACATATGCCCTAGCTACTGGCAAAGTGCCTTAGACGTCGGATCTATGGATGGAGGATAATGCTTCTTCTCAATCTGCCCTGGGAACCCTCCCAAGAGCGGTTTAAGCTGTTTACTGGCGTTCAAAATCAGCAAACTTAGCCTTTCAGGACATCTATGGTCCGTTCCTAAACTCCAAAACATGGGGACTCTATATGAGATACTCCTTAAAACTCTGAAGCTAGTCAGAGGCACCGAGCACGACGACCAGGTCAGCTTTCAAACAATGAACCTGACAGCTTCGATTTGCTGAGGGATGGGAGCTTCTCCAAAACAACCCCTATGTAAGAGCAAATAAGTTAGGGTTTAGGGTTTGGGG